GACTATTTTATGCAGCTTTGTACTGTGAAATATGGGAAACCAGGCTTAGCCAAGAGTGAGTTGCTTAGCAGACGCTTGCTGTCATACAAATTAGCCACAGCTTTTGCATCCTGGAGTGCTGCCAGCACAGAGCTAGCTATTGCATTAGATGTCTGCTACCAGTCATGATCTAAACTGAAAGTGAGAAGATTAATCACTCTACTAGCATTATCTTAGCAGGTAGTGCTTTTTGTGGTGTTAAACATGTTTCTCATCTTTAAACCCAAACCGTAAAATACTTCTCAGAGTTTCAAATCAATGAATGTACAGGAAGAACAGGAAGAGGTTTAATTTAGTGAGGGGAAATATCATGCACGTGTGGGAGGCTATCTTGCTTTAGAATTGAAAGAGAGGCTTATTTTATCAGTGCCACCCATCTAATATGTAGCAATGAATACCTTCAAAACTATATTTTAAATAAATGTATGCCTGTATCATATATATGATATGTGTTATACCACTATATTATAAATAAGTGTGGATACAATTGATTTGAGCTACTAGTGGACAAAAAGTAATAGCATCTGATGAGCAGCATCTTTGACTTTGACACTGCCCCAACCAGGATTTTTAATACATAGTTGTACTAACGTAGTTTGACTAATAAAACACAGTCATACAAATATTCCCCTGTGAAATTTTCCTGGTGGCAGAGTTCTTACTTAAAGAGGTATCAGGAATTTTTGGTAATTTTGGTAATAAAAATTGGTAATTTTTAGCAGATCAGCTTCTGTTGGTACTGCCCCTGTACTGCAGCAGCACTTTTTGCAGGAGGAATACAAGACCCACCAGCAGATGCCATTTGCTGCTCACTTGGGTGCTGGAGAGTTGTAGTTCTTGTTTCTAGGTGAGACAAGTGTTATGTTTATGCTTAATCTTCACAGGGCTGCTACAAGGGTTTCCTTTCACTTTCCTGCAGTGATTAGTGATTTAGTGTGCAGAGGTTCAAAAAAGCCCTTTCTTGCAGTGGCTGCAGTGGTGATTTTTCTGTTTCCCTTCTGCAAGGGAATCTGAAATGGGAAAGGCCAAGTAGTAATGTGTACTTGCCTAGAAATAATGTGCTGAGTTTGTAACTACTGGAGAAAATAGTTTGGCACAGAGCTATTTCCGTGTACCTCCCTAGCAGCAAGAACAATTAGGCACCAGCTGAAGACAGTGACTGCCAAAAGCGCATTTGGATGAGGTGGGTGTTCCTGGGTGGTACAGTCATGCGTTAACAAGTGCGACTGCATCACTAAAACAATGTATTTTTGTATCCCCAAGCTCTTTGTAGGGATATGCCATCCTCAGGAGGGAAGGACACCAATAAAGCATCTGGCAGGGAGGGAAGGCGTAGAAATGAGGACAGGATAATGAGGTATATCTAACTGCTTGTTGTTAGCAAAAACCATCCACCTGAACGGGGTATCGTGTTCACAGCCGCTTCAGGAATCATTCTGCCTGAAAGCTGAAGTGGGAGTGGGTCAGCTGCTTCAAATCCAGTTCTCCGGGGGTTGGAAAAAATCTAAAGTGATAGGTGGATGTGTGGGCAGCAAACAGCAATGGGGAGGGCAGCTGCAGCAGGGACAGGGATCCAGGAAGCTTTGTGCAAACTCTGGGGGAGATGTAAACCCTTTCCCCAAAAAACACACACAGAGTCTCCTGATAGAGACAGGAAACCAGACATATTTTTTTCTGTTTGCTGAGACTGAACTCTCCTAGGGCACAAAAAAAAAATCTTAGCTCCAGTGCACAAAACCTTGCTCCTTGAATCTTGTGCTAAGGTCCAGGGGATGCCTGTTTACTTCATACGCAGGGGAAGCAGCGTCTTGCAGAAATCTTAACCTTTATGCACTTTGAAAGAGGAACTTGTGTTTTTTTTTCTGAACACATCACGTGCATGGGTAAATGCTAGAGATGAAATGATACTGTGTGGTGGTGTGTGAGAAAGTGTTTGGCACAGTGGATTCCGTCAGGGAGCGAGTGATGAGTCGCAGTCAGACACCAAGAAATGATGGTCCGCAAGTGCTTTTAATAAAGTAACTGCCCACTCGTTTCATTGGATTTCTTGTAGTTGCCTCTTCCACCACTGGGTGTTGAAGGGTGAGCAGGTACAGCTCAGTGAAAACCATACAAAAGAAACCACCCTGCATCTTGAGAAATGTTCAGCATCTTAATTAGGTTCAGAGTATAATACTGTTAACAGTGCATAAATGACAGCTATTTTCTGTTTATCTACATATGGTTCCATTCTTTGAGTTTTATCCATTATTATTTAAATGAGTATTTTAAGTATCCCTTCTCCTAAAAAGCAGCCCCGTATTTTTTCTTCCAATTTGATTCCACAAGATATTGTCAAACATCTTATGTGTGAGAGGATAAACAATATACTCCATACTCCAGCAGTCACAAAGGGAGAAGCAGGGGAGAGGAATAGATGCCTCCCGATAAAAAATATTACGAGTCAGTACTCAGGAAACATGGGAAACAGATCTTCAATATTAAATGTTTCAGTGGGGTTTTCTTTGCTGCCTCCTGCTAATCTGCTAATCCTTTTAGAAAGCTAGATTTCATGGCTCTTTCTGGAGACAGAGCAGAGCACAGCTGATGTTTAAAGCAATTTCTTTTCTTTCAGCATAATGCAGCCATTGCCGAGGTCACAGGGGCTGTGCTCTGGCTGCAATGGTAGTGAAGTGCACTAAGCTTGCACTGAGCAGGAGCCAATTCCATTCTGTAGCATCCTAGTATCCTCCAAATTTAGCTGTGCCACTGCTGTGCTAGAGCTACATAATATGACAAATGAGCTTTCCATTAGATTCCTGACTGTGTTAAAACCAAAGCTAAAGCAAATGCACCATTTCTAGTAGTTCTGAATAGCATTTCATTTGGACCCTGATGTGAAAGTAGAATACAGTAAATTGCAAGTGACAGAAACAAATTAGTTCAATATCTCAAGTTTCGAACCTCGTCATCTTGCAAGAAACTCTTCTGACAGTTGTTGTGTCAGCTGGTAGCCAGCGAGCAAAATACAAAAATTATTGAACTCCAGAGTTTGTAATACAAGGGAGGGAGAGGGGGAGAGAGAAACAACAGTGATGGCCTTTTTTTTTTTTTTTTTTCTGGTGTCTGGGTTTTCTTGTTTAATGCAAACCACTGAAAGTCTCCTGGAAGAACAACTGCAAAGACCAGTAACACCTTTCCCAAACTAAGGGTGAGCATAGTAGTCTCATGTCTCAGTTTCTTTGTGATGTTCCTAAGCTGCTGGCCTAGGTGCCAAATTGTAGTAGGACATTGCTGCTGCTGACAGCCAGGTTTGCAGTTCATGTAAGGAGCCTCAGGTCCCTGTTCCTGTGAGGCAGCACTGAATGCCTGGCAATGAATTTGAAGCCGAGCTCTCAGTGACAGAGCCTGAATGTGCTTGCCCTGAAAAGTGCAAAACCTGTCCCTGGCTTCTGGTGTGGCTCTTAGTGACTCAACTGCACGCAGGGGCAAATGCCCCCTGCTCTGTTAGTACCCCTAGCTGTCAGCAAACCTGCACTGTGGCTTGGCATCTAGAGCATGCCAAGCAGAATTGGCCAAGGTGCCATCTTTGAGGCCTTAGAAGGGATGTATTCATTGATGTTGCCTGCACAGCTGGCCAGGGCTGTGCCTACAAGGCCCTTTTAGCTATTCTGGGACTGGGGATATGGACTAGATGCTCTGGGGGAAAGAGGAGTTTAGAGCTGCCTGCCAGTGTGTGTCCCACAGGATCCTCTGCCCAGGTATGCCCTGCATACTGAGGCCACTCCATCTGCCCTGGCTGCAGAAGTTGATGCACAGCCTTTTCCAGAGAGCCTTGGTGCTTTCTCACATGCTTGGGAAGAGGGTGCACAGCCCTGGTGCTTGAGGCAGTCAAGGAAAGACTTGGGGCACACTCAGCCTCTGAGGATGGAAGGCTGAACTTGCTGTGCCAGAGCTGTCAGCCCCAGTTCTCCACCAGGTAAAGAAGCCACCCTCCAGCAGCAGCAGCAGCGCTCTGAGGGCCCTGGAACGAGTGGTATGTTTGGGTTTGGTGCTGCAAGTCACAGGTTCTGCGCTTGGCCGGGTGTGTGAGGTAGGGATGAGGACATGAAGAAAGAAGTGTCTCATGCTTCTCTCCCTTCTAATGTCTCCATAAGGAGGACCAGCTGCTCTTTATGAGCTTTTTTTCTCCCCAGTTCCCATGGAAGTGGCGTCTCAGAGCACTAGGCACGATGTGCACCCAGCTCACTGGAGGTGCCCCAGGTATTTGGCTGTTTCCCCTGGGGCTCTGCCCGTGTCTGCTGGGGGTGTGCAGTGGCAGAGGGCTCACAACACTGGCTTGCTGTGAACCTGGCAACCCATGGAAGCACACTGCCTGCTGCTGGGGTGCTGTGGGGGCATAACACGGGGAAGACCTTCATCTATGGGAGAAGGCAGGGCTGCAGCTGCACTCAGCTAATCAACAGAGGATGATGCTAGATATATTTAAAGCTACTACCCTTTGCTGGGAATGGCTTGGCTCTATGCTGCAGGCCTGTGACATACTGATAAAATCATGTTGTGATTCCATGGTGTATTTTCTATCCTATATTAGTAGGATTTAAAAGCTGTGTGTTATTTTTACCTAAAATTTCATTGATGCTTGAGGGTTACTTTTAAAAAAAATTTGTCTACTTCAAGAGTGTGTTTCCTTCATATTTAAGGTAATACCTTATGCTTCAAGTTAGGCAGCTGTGCAAATCCCAGCTGGATCAGAGCCACAATATGCTACCTCTTTTCTAGAGCAAAACTGATCCCAGATGATCCATCTCTTTTAAAACTTGGGCAATTTATGCTCCCAATACTACTTATACAAAAGAAGTCATAATGTAAATGCAGAGTCTTGGTGCTTTTCCTTAAATACAACAACCGTCATCTCAGTTATATAAATTTTTACAGGTTAAAAAACAATGAGTATGTTCTTCTTATACGAACAAAAGCTCTTAAAAGTATTGCCTACACCGCACAAGCTTCTGGAAGGCTTTCTTGAAATCTTCATTAAAGATTGTGTAGATTAAAGGGTTAATAAGGGAATTTATATATCCCAGCCATGCTAGGAAATTAGACATGTCTTCTGAGATGTGACATCTTTCACAGGTATTAACAACTACCTCTTTTACAAAAAAAGGGAGCCAGCAGATTACAAACGCCCCCAGGATCAGACCCAGCGTAGTTGCTGCCTTTCGCTCCCTTGTGCTAGAGATTCTCTGTTTTTTCCAGGACTTCTCGTGCTTAGATTCAGACCTGGGGCTGCGCAGGGTGACGTTGATTTTATCAGAGTTCACCAGGGGATCTGATGTCTTCTCTGCCGTGCTGGGCATTGAAGCTGATTTGGTGCTTCTTTCACCCGCGTCCAAAAGGACTTGTCCGTTCACCCCCTCCTCCCTCACGATCCGGCTGACGCTCCTCCTGTGAAATGTCTTTGCCGCCTTGTATATCTTGTAATAGAGGATCAGAATCAAGGCCAGAGGGATATAGAAGGCGCCAAACGTGGAGTAAATGGTGGAGACTATGTGGTCGTGCTTGATGATGCACTCGTCGTCCCTGCTGGCCGTCTGGTGCCGCCAAAACAAGGGCGGCATGGAGATAAAGATGGATATGATCCACACCACTGCTATCATGATGGCAGCGTGCTTAGGTGTCCTTTTCCGTGCGTATTCCACGGCATCCGTGATCGCTCTGTACCGGTCCAGAGCAATGGCAGAGAGATGCAGGATGGAACACGTGCAGCACGTGATGTCCACGCTCAGCCAAATGTCACACACCACCTGCCCCATGATCCAGGTCTCCTTTACAATGTAGACAATGCTGAAGGGCATCACCAGGACTGCCACGAGGAAATCTGTCACTGCAAGAGAGCAGATTAGATAGTTGGCCGGGTGGTGGAGCTTCCTTGTCACAATTATTGCAGTCATCACCAGAGAATTGATGGCCGTTGTCATCAGAGCAAGCACAGACAGGGTAATGGAAATGAGAATCTTGGATGTCACCCATTTGAACGGTTCTGATGTACTGTTTTGATCAGTTGAGTTTATTAAATCCATGTTCCCTTTTAAAGGTGATCTTTACCCGTAGCTGTTACCTGTTGGAAAAGTAAAAACATTCAGAAAGTGCATCCTTAATCTGCAAGATCTCTTGAATTTTTTCATCTTAAAAGACTGTTGGCCCCCAACCTTACAAGAATTTCAGACTTATCATTAGAAATTATTCTGTCTCCAAACAGATTTTCCTGGCTAGCACTATGTGGGATGCTCTGCTTTTAGGCTTGTACTGTTCACTCCACTAAGCAATGTAACAACTGTCAAAAACATTAATCCAGCAGGCATAATGCTTATTTTCTCTGTGTAAACTTCTTTTTCCCCCCATCAGTACGTGAGTCATTCCTTATGTATAGATAAGCATGGGCTTTCTAAACTGGGTCATAGTTTTCAAGAGAAAACAGAAATGTGAAACGTTGCAGTATGAATAGAAGAAAAAAAAATTGCAGGTCGAAAGTGTCATTTTAAAGCTTCCTCTTCCTCAGCTCTAAAATGAAACAGCTAAACATATTCTAAAGCTTCAAACTGTTAACTCATTGTCTAACTGAAATATTATCCATAGGTTAGTCTTGAGAACATCTTTACTTTTCCTCAAGTTTTGCTATTCTGTGGCTGCTGCTGAAGAAAACTGCAAAATACTTGGGTGCCAGTTGTTCTGCTAACTACTCTCACTATGGAAACAGCCTAGAGCCTCTTATGGCTCTGCTGGAAGAAAAAAACAGGGAAATAGTGATGAAATAAGTTCTTGACTATGTTCTGGGGATGAGCACCCTACTTTCTTACCAAGAAGAGTTTCTGAGCACTCTCTGGACAGCAGCTGAGTTAGGAGTTTCCACATTTACTGTGAGTACAAGCTCTACTCTAAAGAGGATCAGATTTCATCCTCTTGTGAGTTCTGACCTGCAGTTTCTCCAGTGAGTGAGATCTACCTGATGAATCCCTAAGCGGGTTTGCTCTGACAGATTTTGGAGTGTAGTGAGTGACTTGCACTTGTGTTGCCTCGGATGCCACATGTATGGAAACACGTGAAATAAGTGAATAATTTTTTTAGGAAGAACGGGTCTCATTAACATGACTAAAGCATTTTGATATTGTGCCGGAGTGGCTGGAAAGGCATCTCATATACTGTTTAAAACCTTAGACCCAGCTCACTAATTTGGTTTGATATTCTAATCTGGTCAATGCTTAATACACTATTGACCTACTCAAAAAAGTTTTTAGAACTGCTTGTCCAGCATTTCATTGAATGGAAGCACAAGGAGAGGAAATGTTATTTCTTGTGCTGATGTTCACAAATGCTGAGCAGATTCTTGTCCTGTACATGAACTGATTACAGTGTGAGTGCTCTTTCTGTGTTCCTTATTCTGAACTTGAAATATACTTTACACACGTAAAAATAGATCCTTCATCATGTCAGTGTCACCTTAAAACCTGAATCCACAATAATTGCTAGTTTGCAGGTATTGTCTATAGTCAGTTGCTTTCTAGAGGAAGAATAGGTATAGATACAGTATTACCTGGTGAATGTTCCACCTCTGCTAAACAAATCATCTTTTTCGAGCTTGTGTAAACACATGGGGAAAAAAAGTTTACTGGCAAAACCCAAGATATCTGTTGATATCCAGTAGTTGATCATACTTTAAAACAGTTACTCATTATGGTTAATTACCTTATAAATTTCCAACTCTTTGGATATTAGTCCTTAATTGCAAGCAAGAAAAAGCAATTTAGAGATAACGAAAGCTGATTAATGGCTTTTGAAGGATTATTCAGTTTGAGACCGTGGAGTAAGGAAAATAGCATGGGTAGGTTTGTAAAACTGCTGTGTAGGAATAAGTAAGTTTCCTTAGTGCTGCTGTGATTTGGAGGCCCTTTATAAGAACACAGTGACAGAAAAGTGCTTATTTGCCAAGTGCAGTGATTATGCTCCTCTGTGTGGCTTTAAGATTATCAGCTGGTGTGCTCAGCTTTCATTCAGGCTGCTGGCGTGGCGCAACAGGGGCACTGGAGACTCTCACACCGAGTTTTTTGTGAACTACTCTGAGATGGATAATTATGCTGGGGTCTCCTGATCATGGGACACAACCTGTTCTTTATGGTATCTGTCCAGACAGAATGTTCTCCTGCTCCTGTGTGGAGACTTAAGAGCCTCTGCCGTTCCAGCAGGTGTCCAGGGTGGTCCTCATGGGCTGCTGCAAACACCAGAGTGTGGCTCCATCCAAGGGAGACAGCAGTAACCATACTGATCTGCCCTCCATGGAAGTGCCTCCTTTTGAGGTTAAAGGGCCATTCAGTGGGCTGTGCTGCCAGTCACAAAATTTGGTGGCTTTCCCTGTTCAAGTGGGATGGGGATCTTCTAACTGGTGGCAACCCATCAGAAACTCTAGTGTTGGAAACATCCGTGCAAATTTTTTGGGTGATCACTAACTAAAAGGATTGTTTTACAAATGTGTGGAGTTGACATGCTGACAGCATTTAAGGACTCATGCCTCTCTCTCTCTCTCTTTTTATCACATCCAAGATGAACTAATTCTGGATTTTCTCTTGCTCAGTTGAACTCATTTCAGTCAGTTGCCATCACTGGCTTCTGCCCTCAGTAAGCAACTGACCCACTTCTAGGAGTGTGAAGGATAATCCTGTCAACATTGCACTGAATTAGGAATTAGGAAAGCTGGCTTCTGCCCCGGGGCTGTAGGCTTTCCTTGTCAATTTTGGAGCAAATTCATTATGGTGCTTCTGTTAATTCTCTGTAAAATAGCTGCAGGAGTAGTTCCCTGGTACTCTACTCCGTGTATTTGTATCGCTTTCTCTTAGTAGCATGAATTACCTCTTTTATGCACTTATTGCAGGGAAGATCTAATCTCAGGTCATACCCAAGGTGCTGTGGGCATCCTGGCATAGCTACACACTGTGTTTCCAGCTTGGACTTTGCTGTTATTCCTGTGAGACCACCAAGCTCCTACCTCACAGAGCAGGCACAGTCCCTCTGCCTTGCAGTGTGGTGTCGTCTCCTTATGGCCACACGCCTGACATAAGACTTTATCTAAATAAAGCATGGAAGACTTGGAGCTCTCTTCTCTGAGCACTGAATTTACTTTGGTGAATGAAAACAAACTTGCAGCCATGCTGAACTGGAGACAAATCTGTATCTCAACAAGTATAGAATGGGTTTAGCAGTGACTATTTTCAGCATGCAACTATTTTCAAAAGAATTATTACAGTCCAGATGTTTTAAAGGCTACTTTTGTGGAACTGGCAACTCAGTGCCCCACTTGAAGGACTAAGCTGAATCTATCTTTGAGTTATCTAAGATAACTCAAATTCCCTGGGAGTTGTTCTTGATGTAGTTGTGTTGTCTTTTTCTATTACCTTTTCAGTATGCAGCTGTTGTTGGAAAACTTTGGAAAGACTTGAAACTTCAATTGCATTATACTGTCCTGAACTTAAGATTGGTGAAAAAGACATCTTGTACTTTATCTTTGTTATTTATTTATTATTATTTATGGTTGCTGAACAAGAGCTCTGTAAACAAAGGAAGATAGCATGTCTATTCTCTTGGATACATGAACATTATTATTTTTAGGGAACAAACCACTTCTACAAATCTCTTTTCCTTCCCTTCCAGATATGGCATGTTAGGGTGACCGGAATATAAGTACTTTTTGTCTTTAAATGCACACATATATCATCTTACTGATCTTGTTTAGAAGGCATGGTGCAGCCTTATCACAAAAGTAAACACTGAATTTGTCTGGTGGCCACTCAAAGAAAATGGATGTTGTTGGTCCTCCTCAGTTCTACCTGAGCATGTGTGTGTGTTATTAAGCCCATAACCACTCATTTGTGTCTGAGATTTACAAAACAGTAATAAGATTACTCCTGTTCAATAGCATTAGTGCATCCTTTCACGTTTGGAAAACAGTACTACTCTCCCTTTTAGTAAACCTGAAAAACAACATGAAATGCTGACAGCTGGACAAACGTGGCTGGGAATGCCTTTGAGAAGGGCATTCATCAGCCTGCTGTTTGGGATTCTGAACTTAGACCGAATTTTGGGACCTGTTTTTATTTTTTTTTTTTCTGTTTGGTTGGTTTGTTTGTTGTTTTGTTGTGTTTTTTTTTTCCTTTTTTTTTGGGGTTTTGTTGTTGTGGTTTTGTTTTTTGTTTGTTTGTTTTTTAAATATTGCTTTAGGCATTGACAGTGGGAAAACTTGCCCATTGGGGTTTAAATACTGCTTTTGAATAAGTTTTCTGAGTGCACTGTGAGGGGTGGGAGGTGGTGTTTGCTTGCCTTTTTTTCATGGGTGCTCATTAGCAAAATCAGTCTTAATTAAAAAACAGTAACAGCACTCGGACAGTAAAATGGGCCACTGATTGAACTAAGGGTATTTAAAATGCTACAGGCAGCAATAAGAGCCTTTGTGCATTAAGTAAACACAAAGCTGTGTCAGGGGCACAGATACATCCTGCTCAGCTTGTTTTCAGCCATCCTGTTTTTATCACCTGTTTCTGTATGGGCTAACCAGATCCCCACTGAAGGTAAGACTAAAATAACCATAGAAAGATTAAGTAGCTATAAGTATCAGCCTTGCCTGGGAGCTGAAATTTCTTCTGAAGCTTTTATAAGCTTGTAAAAATCCTTCCTGATGTAACTGTGTGTCTTTAGATACTAACCATGTGATGTACTAATGACAAGTAGCTTAGTAATGATCCATCATATTAAATATGAGGAGAGGGAAATATTACTCCTTTGGATTAAACAAATCTGTTTAAGAAGGATGAGCTTGTACTCGGATCTGATAGGGGATGCACTTGGGGCTTGAACCCTAGTGCCCCAGCAGATGGAGCAGGAGTAGAGGGACATTTTCACTTGGTTCTTAGAGTCCTGTCCTTAAATTCTTTCCTCCCAATAACTCTTGCTAAGGCTCCTAAAGCTACAGTGCATCCCCCTGGGACAAGGCAGGGATAACTAGAAGGCTTGTGAGAGAAGTTACTTGCCAGCCCAA